CTGGGCTGATGGGCAGGGAATTGCAGAGGTCCTCAAGGGCCTGCCTGGGATGCGGTACTCCAGGACAGGCTCGAGATGAGTGGGTGTCTGCAGCCTGAACATATGAGAACCTGTAAGATAAGCCCCTACTAGTGTGAAGGGGGCCACAGGAGACAAGGCCTCAATTTTCTCCTCTATAACTCAGTGGGCTCCACAGACTAAGCAAACTGTCTACTGGCCTTCATTCTCCATCAATGACCCATTGCACACTGGGGGCCTTGGAAAATTCTTTCTAGTCCCTGTAGGTCAAACTGAGCAGAGAGAGGCTTGGGGCTGGAGAACACAGGGCTTGGGGTAAGGCAGAGCATGAGACCACCATAACATGAGTCCAGATTCCAGGACCAAGATCAATCCTTGTTGGAACCTCAGGGTCCTCCTTTGGATGTTGGGTCAGGGTCACTGCTCTGGCTATGTTGAAGATGTGTCCTATGTGAACTGGACAACCAAGGCCAGTTGAGACAAAGAAGGTGGCAACGGGGGTTTCAAAGACCCTCATCCTGACCTTGGAGTCTATGAGTCCCACTCATTTGCCCCGCTGAGATCGTGGAGAAAAGCTGTCCTGATGACAGCTGAACAAGCTGTGTGTTTTGTTTTGTGATTTCTTTGCCTGGAGCTGCAGTGCTAGCACTGTTCACCAGGGAGCAGTAAGCTTTTCTCCCAGAGGTAATCATGAGCTTTGCTGGAGCAAAAGAAGCAGGGAAGAGTCATCCAGAGGTGATTCTGCAAGTCCCCCTCATTCAGGCCCAAACTTGCACCTCCTTTTTTAAGAACCACCTCTACAATCTGAGCTGGTCAGAGGTCATCTCATATATTCATTCCTTAACTAGGCTCTGAATACTCACCCATGTTATGCTGAACACGACTGACATGGTCCCAGGCCTGCAGGAGCTCACAGCCAGGAAGGGGAGATGGACAAAGCATGTGAACACGTGAAAGTAAAGAGCAACTGCGATAGCAAGAATACAGCAGGCTGCTGAGAGGGAGGCGTGCGGGACTACTAAGTGGGAAGGTCTGAAAGGGCTCACTGAGTTGACATTATGCAGAGATCAGAATGGCAAGAGAGTACCAGCCCTGCACAAGGCTGGGAAGAGGGTGCCAGGGAGAAGGCACAACTGGAGCAGAGGCTCAGAGGCATAAGTGAGTTTGTCCAGAGAATAAGGACCAATGGTGTCCAGTGTGTCCCCAGTAAGTCTGGGAGGAGGGGGTGGGGGCAAGAAGAGGGCAGAGCCAGATCCTGTGGCCTAGTAGCCAGAATTATGTTTTGGTCTGTGACAACGTTACCCCAAAACTTAGTGGCTCAAAGCAACAAACATAAAATATCTCACAGTTTATGTTGATTAGGAATTAGAGCATGGCCTAGCTGGTGCCTCTGTCCCAAGGTCACTCAGGAGGCTAGGGCTATGGTCTCAACTGAACGTTGACTGGGGAAGGATCCACTTCTAAGCTCCCTCACATGCTCTTGGAAGGATTTGGTGAACTGTTGGATTAAGGGCCTCAATTCCTCTCTGACTCTTGGCCAGGGCCCTCCCTTGGTTCTTTGCTACATGGACTTCTCCACAGGGCAGTTCATACTATTGCAGCTGCTCCTCAGAGTAACTTGAGAGAGAGAGAGAGAACAAGAGAAAGAGAGCACAAGAATAAAATCCCATATATTTTGCCTTGTTCTATTCTTTAGAAGGCAGTCTTTGATTCCACTCCACGCTTAAGAAGTGAGCAATACACAGGGATGTGTATGCAGGAAGTCAGAACATTGGGAGCAGTGTGCAGTCTGAGATGAGTCAAATGGATCTGATTCTAAATATAATGGAAGTTTCTAGAAGATTTTATGCCTGAGGATGATGGTATCTAATTTTTATTTAAGTTCATCCCCCTCATGGTGCAAACAGGGAAATGAGCGGAAGCAGCTTTCCCAATATTACATCCTCAGAACCCAGCCCTGGTTTGAGTTACACTCCACACTGTTTCCAACCATTTCTCATATTTTTTCTAACTAAAAGTTTGTGCACTAGCTACGCATGACATCAGCCTATGGGTTTTATATGTATTACTTCACAAACACCTGATGATGTCCCTAGAAAAGAGATGCTAGCATTATCCTCATTTTACAGATTGGGGAACTGGGGAGCCTTCAAAGACACAATAAGTGGTCAAGAGTCACATAATTGGTGACAGGCAGAAGTAAGGGTTGAAGCCAGCTACGTCTATGCAAAGCTGGGACACTGAATGCACCCAGGTTTCCTGAAAGGCTATAGGAAGCATGGTGTTGTCTTATCTGTCTAGAGATACAGAGATGTCATGGGAGAGGAGTGTGAAACCCTCCAGGCCCTTTGAGAAGGTCTGTTTCAAGGAGTAGGCCAAGGTAAGGGGACACAGGAAGTGACCACACTTCCTTGGTGATAATCCCAACAGAACCTGGAACTCTCGTAACCGGGCACCCACATTCTAGAGAAAACTCCCTACCCAGCTCTCTTGGGTAAAGAAGCTCAAGAGAGCAGGATGTTTTCTCACTGTTTATCGACTTCCAGAGACTATAAACTCAAGAAGTCACAGAGTGAGAATGTTTTTCAAAGATTTGGACATTGGCTCTGCCCTCATCCCAGAACCCTCAGGCCAATTGACAGGCAGAAGTCAAAGGTAACACAAAGTGGACCAAGGAAGGTCAATCCATACCTCGCCACCACTGTGATCCCACCTGGGGGGTATCACACCCCTCCCCAACCATACCAGCCCCTTGGCCACACAGCCATTACCCTCATGGAGTCTCAGTTAGGTGGGCAGGTAGGAAATACAGACCTAATTAAAAAGACAGAAAGTATTCAGAATGAGGCTGGGGCCATTGAGGAAAGAGGTCTATGGGGGACAGAGAAGACTTGCTGAAGGAGAAGTCATGTGATTTGGGAAGATTTGCGAGGAGAGTTATGATGATGAAAATGATGATAATGATGTTATGGCTTAGGGATTCTCTGTGTGTGCTACAACCCCTGGCTTCCTACTCATTCATGATGCCATACTACAATGTATGTTCCTTCTTTGCCTCACCTCCAGCATGAAAATGACTCGGCCTGCATAGGAAGTCCTTAGTGCGGACCTATAAAGTATTAACAATTGAAACTTTAGTGGAGCCCCTGGTGCCTGCTTTCCAGGACAATGACACTTCCTACATCTCTACCTTTCTGTCCACTTACCGGTTCTTCAGGACCACCAAACAGGTCTTAGAAGTCCTTTTCAAAAAGTAAGTGCCTGCCCCTTCTACAGCACAGTGGCGAGTATGCCACGTACTAGCTATGCATCTTGGGAATGTCACTTTGCCTCTCTGAGTTTTGTTTGCTCCTCTTAAAAGTGGAAGAGGAAAGGATCCCCAGTATAGGGCTATTGTAAGGACTAAGTGGGATGGCCATGTGAAGTGATTACTGAGTGCTGTTGGAGGGTTGTGGTTCTTCATATTGATTCATGTTCCTCTCCTCCATGAGGAAGCTCTCTGCCTCACCCCTCACTGACACCAGGATCGTGACAAAAACTGCTTCCCCATTTAGAAATGAGGACTGAGATTCCATCTTGGGGTGCTTGTCACTGGAATAAGGATCCCTAAGAGGGCAGACAAACTGGTCTACTCAGATAAATTGGAAGGTACAGACAGTAGCTCATTAATTCTTCAAAGGTATATTAAACACCCACCAGTTGCAGGTATATTCTAGGCACTTAGCATCATTCCTTGAGCAAAGTAGACACAAACTCTGCCCTACTGAGCTTACTTTCTAGTCATGTATCAGACAGAAACAGTAGACTTCACAAGCAGGTATGTACACAGGACATTGTTGTGAAACACTCACCGTCTCTCTAGATATGGTACATCCTCAGGAATGGTGGAGCCCAGGACCAGATAAAAAAGTGAGTGGACTTGGCATCAAGCAGGAGGGCTTCCTGTGTCCACAGACCAGTGGGAAGAGTGGAGGGAGCTGCGGCTGGGGAAAGGTTGGGCAGAATCCTGGGTCTCATACATCTTACGATTCCCACTAGAGTGCTGAAGTCTGTGGACACCTCCTGCAACAGGAAAGGATTCAAAGAGCTGAGGATGGGGTCCAGAGGGCCTACTGGAGTAGGTGGGCAGCAGGCTCAGAAAGGGAACCTGAGAAATCCCATCCCCACCCCATCCCCTTCTCAGCTTAGCTTGCCCCCATTACACCACCATCCTGGGGCCTGGAACAGATGTAGTGTCCAACCTACTCCCCAACCTGGCTCAGACCTCAGGGCTGTGTGGCAGCTGCATGTGGGGCTGCGGCAGGCTGCAACCCTGCCCTTTGGGAACACAGTGTCAATGGGAGATGGGACGACATATGGAATGGGGAGAATAAGGCAGCATGTGGGTGCACAAACTAGAGGTGGAGCTGTCACGAGGGTCCTGGGAAGATGGGGGCAGGAGGACAGACTCCATTGTTCCCTCATCCATCATACATTTATGGAGCACCTACTGTGTGTCAGCACAGAGCAATGAGCAGAGCACCCAAACCCCCTGCCCTCCTGGTGTTTACCACCCAGGAGGGAGGGTCCAGGGGAGACACACAGAATAGGTCAGGCTTCCAGTAGAAGGGGACAGTTGGTCACACCATGATTCCAGAGCTCCGTATGATGCAGGCTGTTTTCCAGCTGCCTGCATGGAGACCAGGCTGCCACTGCCAGCACAGCCACAGTGGGGGGTGGGGGGGACGCTAGGGTCGGCCTGGCCTTGGAACAGGCATGGCCTGACAAGTAGTCCAACTCCCCACAGAGATCCCATTGGATGACTCATGGAAGGAAAGGCCAGGCCTCTGACTGTGCTGCCCACCCACTTGCCCCCAGTGCCATCTCCTCCATCATGGGCCTCTGGGTGAAACAATACCCAGAAGACTTCTGTGAGCTCCCGGATTTTCCCTGCCTCCAGCTGCTGGTAAACTACACAGGGTTCAATATGCCTGCATCAAAGCTGGAGTAAAGTGCCTTCCTTTTCCTGGCTACATGGAGCACTCAGAGCTCACTGAAGCAGAGCCAGAGGGTGTGGCAGAGTGAGGGAGGGTATATGAGAGCATGTAGGCAGGGGGACTGGCTGGGTACACAGGGAGGAAGCTCCCAAGTTTTTGTTGGGAAAGGAATGAAGACTGGCCCCAAATCACTCATCTTGTGGACTGCAGTGTAGGAAGGCTTCCTGGAAGAGGAGTTCTTGAACTGGGGCTGCTCAAAAAGGCATGGTTTCTATATTTGGAAAAGCATGTAGAAAGCCATTTCCATTGGTGAAACTTTCCCTCTTTCCAGCTCCAGGACCAGGTCTAGAGCTACACACAGCTCCAGCATCAGCTCTAGTGGCACGTGTAGAGCCGGAGGCAGCTCCTCTGGCAGCTCCAGAACCAGCTCCAATGCAAGCCCCAGCAGTTACACCAGAGTTCGGGCCAGTGCCAGCTCCAACACCAGAGCCTTCCTGCCTCTTGACTGTGAGCACAATGCAAAGTCTGAGACAGGAGGAGAAGATGAACTTCTTGTCATTCCCTCCCAAGCTAGTAGTAGAACAATTAACAATGGTGGATACGGTGAGCAGCTGGACTGGCAGGGTGGGCCTGGGGCAGACCTTCATTCTGGCTTTTGATGCCCAAGACTTGTCTTTCCCTGATCTGGATTCAGTGATCTGCATCCAAATCCCAGCTCCACTGCTTATCAAGTATGGGACTTGGTCAAATTTCTTAAACCCCTGGGCTGCTGTCCGCATATGTATAGTAGACACAGGCTACCAACCCATCCTGCTGCATAGAGTCACTGTGAAGATTCAGTGAAATAGGACAAATACTCAACTTAGTAGGGGATGGCTCCTTAAAAGTCCAAGTGGTACTCCCTGATGGACACTTGGTTCATGAGTGAACCACACTTCTACCCAGGGCTCCTCACCAACTTCAGTACTAATTAGGCACCTAATGTGTACAATGCTCTATGGAAAACCTCCAAACAAAGCCTGTAGTTGTAAAGCCCAGGGAGAATGTGCATTTGAATGGTGTGACAGACACAAAGGGCTTATCAAGAGGGGCAGAAGGTGCTACCTCGGTATGTGCAGGCTGGAGCCACCTTGGGGTGCTTTGTTAGTGAAGATGGCACTGGTGACAATACTGTGCTCTCTTCCCTGTCAGCAATGAACCCTGGCTCACTCATTTGCTGTGTGCACACAATGGGAGAGAACAAATCCAAGACACGCCACAAGGCTTCGGCCACATCCTCAGCTTCCAGAGCTCCAGCTCAGACCAATGGGCCCTGGCCTAAGACTGTGGGACTGTGGGCTCTAGCTGGGGTGGGGGAATGTCAAGTGACACTTCTCCTCCTCTCCAGCAGCTGTTCAAGAATGTGGTGCCCTATGACTGCCTAGGGTCCATCTGGTCCCAGAGGAATAAGAAGGGCAAGGAGCACCTGATGTCCCCTGTCAGTGTCACTGTCACACAGTTTAATAACGTGGTGCACTGTGTAATCACCACTTGCCTGGGGGACAGGAGCATGAAGGCCCCAGACAGGGCCAGGGTGGTGGAGCACTGGATCTAGGTGGTCAGGGTAGGCTGTGGGTGATCCGAGAGGAACTCTTCACTCAGTCCTGGGACCTCCCTCTTCTCTTGGGTCAGTTCTTAGGATTGGGGTCTGTGGTTGAAGCCCCTACACAGACCCTAGTCACCTCCTGTGCAGAGGCACACTGGCCTTGACTGGCTTGTGCCACCGCGGGGCACTCATTCCTACCTCCAAGCCTCCACCTCATGGCTCATTATTTTTCCTTCCCCAGGAGTGGCTGATCCACAGGAACTACTCCTCACGCCATGCCATTCCCTCTGCTTTGCAGAACACTTCAAGCAATCGTTTGAAAGACATTTGGGGAGAAGTGTCCAGGTGGGCATTCCTCTCCAATAGCAGCATCAGGGTAGACCTGGGACTTCATGCAAGAATGAGAATTGCCCCGTCAGTGAGCCTGGGACCTGCTGGGAGAAGGCCCGGGGGCAGGAACTGCTGAACAGGGTCTTGAAGCCTCCTTGTGTCCTCAGGCCAGCAGTTCAGTGTCAGGACTCTATTTCCTGATCTGTTGATACAGGGTGGAGTCAAACTACTGACTGTGCAGTGTTCACTTCAAATCCCCATAACTCTGTCCAGTTGAAATCAAAACTGGGAAAATCTAGCTGTTCAGTGGAAAGAGAACGTGGGATCCTTGTTGCGCCAACCTGAGACCTCACCACCTCAGTCCCAGAGAGCCCTTGCAGACTCAGATAAACCCAGTTTGTAAACCACTCATCCCAATAATTTATCCTTTGGGATCTCAGACAAAAGGAACTTGACTCATACCTCTCTCTGCATCCCCAGATTTCTCCTTCCTTCTTTCCCTTCCCCTTAAACACAGCTCCCAAATCTGTAAGAAGCTGTGTAAGAACAAGAACACACTGATTAGGAACCTGCCCATTAAGGTAAACTGGAGGCAGGGGATGGAGAGGAAAAGAGGGGGTGGAGTTTTGTCAGTTTCACTTTGAAAGTTTGTGTGAAAAATCCCAGTCTTGTCTTGAGTACAGTGAGAGGAAGAGGGTCCGTTTGGTCAGTGGGCAAGTGGAGAGCAGTGTCAGAGCAGGACACCCCTGGTAATGGGATGGAATGTAGTGGTGGAGGCTGTTCTGTTGTAGGAGGGCTTGATGAGCTTAGAGAATGAGTATGTCTCTGGCTCCCAAGCTGTCCCCTAATGATTGGACTCAGCTCCTCTGAGCCGTTGGTTAATTGGGCAGACAGGGGTCCTTCCTTCCTCAGTGCAGCACAACCCGTCCTCAAGCAGGCAGCCCTGCTGTTCCTTCCGTCTGCACTGCACACCAAATGTGCAGCGATGTGTCCCGGGCAGGCACCCTCCTTGCACCAGGGATAAAGACTGCTAGGGAGTCCCATGGGCCTCCTGGCCCTGCCTTAAGTCCAAATGACTCAATCCAGGAGACAGATGTGCATACAGTCTGGAACTCCCCCCACCCTTCCATACAGCAGACACCGCTCATCAATCTCACACTCAGGATTCTCATCATGGGGTCTCGTTAGCAATGACATATGAGAAGTTCCTAGAGACAAATGAATCTAGACTCTACCTCAGAAGCTTCCACCTAAAGGAGGAAGCAAAGTGTCACTGCACATTTCTCCTGACAACTTCTACTAGGTTAGTCAGAAATGGCCCTCTGGGAAGCCCATTCCATAGTTGATGGGGACAGAGTTTTCCACAGGGGAGTTTCTGAGGGCTCCTTGTGAAGGTGAAGCCTTTGGAAATACCTTGGGGGCAGAGACTCCAGTGGAGCTGGAGCAGGCCTTCTGAGACACACTTTCCCTTCCCTCCACAGCTCAGTCAAGCTGGGACTCAACCTCACAACAAGAAAGCAGGAGGACAGTACCCTGGTCAGTAGTGGTGGCGGGGTTGAAGGCAGCTGGTCCGGGAACTCCTGCTGGTAGAGAAGAGGAGGTGGTCTCTTCTCTGACTCCCTGTGAGACCCTGGACACATTGTTGCCCCTCGTAGGGCCCCTGTTTTTCAACTGCAAAATGGAAAGGTGAGGATGCTGTGGCCCACATCATGGGGAGGTGAAGAGAGTTAGGAAGAAAAAGTGTGTTCATGAGCTTGTGCAGGGCTCCACCAGGGAAAGGGTGATTGCAAGAATAACTAATAATAATGATATAGGGTTGAGGCTTCAGGAGATCCTATGGAGTGTGGGGAATTCCCACCACACTTTCCAGATGAGGAAAAAGGCTCATGGGAGGGTTTTCCAATGAGTGTTGAGGTGGGGTTTGAATCTAAAATCAAAGCATGCTGGAGGTGGCAGTAGTGATGTACCAGCTGACTACGGTCAGGTGCCCAAGGCCCAAAAAAGAGTGCAGGAGAAGTAAAGTAGCCATATGAAGGTGTCCTCACTGACTCATCCTTGACTCTGACAGAAGGAAATCTCCAAGTTTGCTACCCTGAAGATGAACCCCAGAAGATGCAGCAGCAGAAGGAGAAGGTGAGTGAGTCGAGGCCAGGGAAGGGGCCAGGAGGAGCTGGCTCCAAGTCAGGAGAGGAGGGAACCCTCCTCTTCAGGCCCTTCCCTCCTGGGGCCTCAGTGCCTGAAATGCCTCCACTGGACATGAGCTCCTGTGGGTCCTAGAAGGGACATGTCTGGACCTGCTAGTATCTTGGGGAGCAAGTTATAACCTCCAGAGTTAGGGCCTGAAGAGCTGGCCTCAGAGTGGATTTGGTAGTGGGGTGGGGCCAGGGACTACATAGGGTTTGTGAGTTGCCAAAAGCTGATCCCTCAAGACGATTAGAGGGAGTTCAGGGTTCATGAAACTGGGAATGGAGACTCAAGTGGAGGTGGCTAAGGGTCCCCAGGGTGCTCTAATTGGGAGCCTGCCATGTAGGGAGAAAAGTGTAAGGTTGAAGAGTTTCAGGGAAGGGGCCTTTTGCGGAACATGAGAGTGTGTGCTCATCCGCACCCCCACCCCAATTTTACAGGGTGTCCTCCAGGGCACCATGCCCTACTTGGGAGTGTACCTCACAGACTTGGTGATGTTGGATGCTGCTTTGCCAGATTTTCTGGATGTGAGTGAGCCTGGGGCTATGGGACAGGAACCAGGATCCTGGGTCTCGGGAGGAAAGGGTCTCCCTTACTGAACCATGAGCTCTTGGTACATGGCGTATTGTCTCATGAGAGCCTCACCACCGCCCCTGTGAGTTGGGAGTGTAAGGCCACCTTACCTACAAGTAAATGAAAGCTGAGCATAATCCACCTGTCCCAGTGCCCCAGGTTGATGAAGCAGCAGAGTTTCTGACTGCAAACTGCATGAGGTTTTGACTGAGCTGGACACAACATCTCTCTCAGGGGATGGCATGAGAGGGGGGAGTTGACCCCTGCAAAGTCAGGCAGTCCCCGAGTGTCTGAGCAGCACCTCCCTACCCAAGGCCTCAATCTCTTCATCTGTCATCAGAGAAGGTTGGGCTTTATGATACTTTATCCTCTGTCACCTTGTCCCATTTCCTCTTGTGGCCAAAACTTGGACCAGACCCATGTGCTGGTGTTTGTGCTACTGCCCTCTCCTGGGCTCTGTTGGTAGTGCACCACAGGAAGGGCTAAACCAAAAAAAAAAAAAAAAAAACAAACCTGAGCCCCTTGCCCTGGAGTAGATTCCAACTCATAGCGACCTTATTGGACAGAGCAGAACTGTCCCATAGGGTTTCCAAGGAGCAGCTGGTGGATTCAAACTGCCCATCTTTTAGTTAGCAGCTGTACCTCACCATAGCTGTTAACCACTACACCATCAGGGCTCCTAGGATGGGCTAGGGGCTGGTAATGGCCTAAGGGACCCATTCTGATTGACATTGTCTGTGTGTCTTCCAGGGATGTATGATAAACTTCCAGAAGAGGAGAAAGGTGAGCAGTTTTGGAACGGACTGTGGGGGTGGGGGTGGAAATCAGACCCCCTCCTGGACAGGACATTCCCTTGCTCCATCCCCCTTCCTTTTAGATTTATGGGGAGAGTCTGATGCACAGAAAAGGGGAGACATGTCCCACACAGGGGTAGGGCTAGGGGGTTGGAACCCAGGTCAACTTGCAGGCAGAACCTTTAAACCAGTTCTTAGAACAGGAAGGGCTCTGGATGGGAGTGGAGGGAAGAAGGTATCCAGTGAAGGAAAGACCCAGAAACTGGACCCCTGCCCCTCCCAGTACCCACACCCAAGCTGGGTCAGCCTCCTGTCCTTCCCTCTGTTCCCAGGAGTTTGGTGTGCTTCAGGAAATAAAACTTCTCCAGCAGGCCTGCCAACACTACACCATTGTGACCCAGGAGCAATTTGAGGCCTGGTTCCAGGGCATGGAGCAACTCACTGAGACTGAGAGGTGAGGCTGGGCAGGAATTGGGCCATGGCAAGGTGGGCTCTCCCTGTGGCTGCTCCACAGAGCCTGTAGAGGCTCCTGGACTCTAGCTTCTGGGCAGAAACTAGGTAGGAGGCCTTGAGACTCCTGGTAGCCTCACAGCTGCCCTCTGTCCTGTATCTACAACCTGTCCTGTGAGCTAGAGCCCCAGACACAGCTGTCCAGCAACATCCACTTGCCTAGCAAAAAGACCTAAAGGACTTGACCATCTTCAAGGGCTGCTGTGAGTGAGTGCCCAGATCTGGGTGGGCAGGGGCTGGCTGCCTTGATGCTCTGTGACGGTCAGAGCCCAGCATAGACTGGTGGAGTGTGACAGCCTGTGACCAGGGCATGTCTCCTCATCTCTCTGTGCTTTGGTTTTCTGTTCTGTGAAATGAGCTGATGCTAAATGATCTCCTAAATGGCTGGGGTAATGTTTATTGAGTAAGAGCTTAGCCCAGTGCCTGACACAGACAGCACAGTGGTAGCTGGGGAAGGGTGGACTGTGTCCCTGGGGAGGACATTAAGATAAGTTGACCCCTCCTCCCAGCTACCAGGACCCAAAAGCAGAGCCCAGTACCAGTGACAGATCCCTCTCCTGTGAACAGCTTATTGTGTCCCTTTTCTCGGAACTGGGGAAACGGCCAGGAAGCATCAAATACCACAGGGGCAGTTCAAAAGACAATGGACACCATACTGAAGGCTGCCCTCTCGACCTGTGCACCTGACCCTTCAGAATATGAGGGGTCCAAGGACTCCTAATTCTGGGTCCCACAGCCCACCTCAGCGGACTCTTCCTCCTTCCATCTTGGTACCTCCCCAGTGATTCCCACCCTTGTGTGTGTTGTAAATTCTCGGCTTGAAACCAGTGAAGCCTGGGACCTGGAGGCCTGAGCCTGAGCAGAGCAGGAGATGACCCAATGTTCATTGTTATTACCTTTTAGTTAGTATTTTATTCTTATTTATGTTTGTTTATAAATATTTTCTTCTTAGAATAATAAAAGTTTCATTTATTCTTGTTTATTTCAATCATCCATCCATGTGCTTTTTTTGTAATTTACGTTTGAGTCATTTAGTTTTGTAGTTATGAAATTCCTTGTTATTTTACATTCGTTTATTTTCATGGGGATATGGTTCTTGCTATAGCAATTTATATTTAGTTATTAATTATATTAGTTTATTTCTTGTTCTTTAGTGTTACAGTCATATACCTGCAGGGTCATGTCTAACTGCACCTACAGCTTCATCAGCAAATGGATTTGCTATTATCCATCAGACAACAGGCTTCTCCATGGTGCCTTGTGTATATCACAGGGTCCCTGCGGATTGTCCTTAAATGTGTGTCCACGCTACATTTAACACCACTATTTTAGAAATAGCCTCTATTAAGAAAGAACCCTTACAGTTTTCTTTACTGCAGTTTTTAAAATTTAAGTCAATGTAATAAACATATTAACCGCATTATACCATGAATCCCATTACTAAACTTCTTGAAAGAATATATATAAGTCAAGGATTATGTAGCTCAAAACCATAAAAATACGCTTCTACCACAAATGGGCTCATCTTCCAGGACTTCAGAAATGTTCTCCCAGGCTTCCTGTACTCTGGGATGTACTCCTGTTCACTGGCAGTGGATTGTCATTGGTGGAAGTCGTTGTAACAGGTTCGAAGCTGTATCTGAAACACCGTCCTGTGTCATCTCACTTTATAGAACATTATAGTTTGAAGGCCAAACGCTACAGCAGGTCATCAGTGATAGTTGTTGAGTGAATGAATGAGTGAATGAATGGTCATTTAGTTCAAAGATTCATGGTCTGTGATCCATAAATTACTAGATAGATTTTAGGCGTCCATGAATTACCCTAAAATTGTGTGCAAATTACATCATATACATGCATTGTTTGAGGCGAGGAAAGTAAGAGAGACAGAGAGAGAATACTCCTGGTGTCTCAAGACCTGTCGTCTCTGCAGAAGGTAAGACAAGTAGGGATGAGAAGTGCTTAAACCATGTATAGCCCCCTTGACCTCTGAGTCCCACCACCCAGAGCTGAGCTAGAGCTCCCCTCAATCTTCTTAGAGGTCACTCCAGAGCCCTGAGGAAAAATTCATTTTGAATCTATTGTAGTCTTCTATGCATGTGAGAACCACCTGAAGGCAACATCACCAACCAAATAACTTCACATGTACAAATACACGTAGTATGACATCTCCATGATCTTCATTCACACCTTGGATTTATTCTCAGGGTTAGCTACTATGGAGGATGCTGTTAATATCCTTGAGATGCTCACCAGTCCCAAAGTAAATATCTCATACTCAATAAACCCCTACAATTTAAGGCATATTTCTTCAAAGACACTCAACCCAGAGAAAATAAAGATAGGAAATCCATATCATGATTATATGATAACAGGGAAATAGAAAGAAATTTAAGTTTATACATTTAGATTAATAACTATGAGTCCTACCTACACTACTAGCAAAAATTGTGTCCAATAGTCATGTCCTCAGTTGTCCAGTAACCCCACCAGCTAACAAAGGATGAAAGGACTCATTTCAGAAGAGAAGGGAGAGTCTTGCACCCAACATGGCCCAGAGTGCACTGCCTAAACCTGATCCTGCTCCACCTGCAGAGAAGACTGGTCTGCAGTGCAGGAGGCCTTTTAGAGACCCCTGGAGATGAACAAGATGGGTGAGGTCTGAACTCAGGGACTAAGATAAACAAAACCGACCAAACAAAACCCACTTTCTTTGAGTCAATTCCTACTCATAGGGACCCCATAGGGTTTGCAAGGCTGTAAGTTTCTGTGGAAGCACACTGACACATCTTTATCCTGCGAACATGCTGGTGGTTTCCAACTGCTAACCTTTCAGTTAGCAGTCGATCGTTTTAAACAAAACTGAAGGAAGAATGAATATAAAGGAGAAAACATCTAGGCATAGCAATGAAAAATTGCTGACTAGCTTAAAGGAAGCCTGAGTGGGGAAATGGACACATCTACAAGCAAGATGTAAAAACACATGTCTACTGAAGTGATGGAAATCAGAGCACATAACTTTAAGTACCAAAAAATATCAAATTGTAATTTTATTCTGAGTAGATGTCATTCTAAAGGGCAAGTGAAATAAAGACATACAATTTATTTAAGATAAACAACAATAAAAGAAATTTTAAAGTTGCTTCCAAATAAAAGAAGATTATTCTAGATGGCATGATCATTTCAGTTTAAAATCCTAAGGAATCTTTAAAAAGCCAATAGAACCAACTTCCAAGTTTAGCAACATAATAGGGTACCAGGTCAATAATGAAAAAAAATTGTATTTCTATATTCTAGCAATGGACAATTAGACATTGAAACTAACAGAATTCCCTTTGTAGTAAAATTCAAAATTATATAACTAGGGCTAGATTTATCAAAGCATATGCAGACCTCCACAATGAAAACTACAGAACATTTCTAAGAGAAAGAAAAGAAGAGTTAACTTAGCATAGTTCATACCATGTTCTTGGATCAGAAATCTCAATGTTGTTAAGATGTCAATTCTCCCCAAATTGATGTATAGCTTCAATTAAATTCCAGTGAAAATATCAGCAGGTGTTTTAGATGTTTTCACATGTTCATTTAAAGATTTATGGGAAAATGTAAAGACCTGGAATAGTCAAAACAAATTTTAACAAAATAACAAATTTGGAGGTCTTTCATTAGCTGAGAATGAGATTACCATAAATCTACAGGAACTAAGACATTGTAAAAGAGTAGTCATCTAGAGCCAGTGGATCAGGCCAGAATTCCTGAGGGCTGAATTTGGCTTTGATAGATACATTACTGTTTTGGGAGCACTGACAGGTAATTTTTCATACTTATACCCATGTGACTGTCCAATTTTGGTGCTGCTTCCACTGCAGGAGCAGGTGACTATCACACGGTAGCAGAAGTTACAGTGGGCTGAATCAGCACAGACTGAGTCCTGGACCCTGACAGTAAGGTGGGAGACAGAGGGGGTTAAGAGGCACTGTGGTCATTGGACAAGGGGAGGAAGGAGGGTCCTGTGCTCCCCAGCCCCCAGCCCTGAAGCCTAGTCTCCAGTCACCTGTGCAGTGAGTGGGGAGGGTGAGGATATAGGTCTAGGCCATGGTGGAGATGTCCCCAGAGCTCTGCATCTTGAGGACTCACAGCTGGGGCCTTGCTTCCCCAAGTTTCTTGTGTACCCCCAGTCACTCCAGGGAGAAGGAAGTTCTCATCATGCAAAGCAGCCCTCACTGCTCTTTCCTCCAGTCCTTCCATAGGCCCTGAGTCTGGACAGTTAGCCTGAGTACATTGTCCTGGGTGGGGCTGGGAAAGGCCAGGATGAGCTCCACAGGTGTCCTGGGAGGTGTTCAGTTAGCAGGGAGAAGAAGGAAATGGATCAGGGCCAGAGGCTGGTTTCCCAGCTGTGATCACTCCATATACCCCTCAGGAACAGGCCAGCAGCACCCAGTTTTGCCCAGGGCCCAGATCCAACTGTGTCTCCAGTTTGTCTACTGCTGTTGTCTATTTCCACCTTCCCCAAAAGGAGGCAATTGTGTCCTGGGTGAGCTACATCTATACTTATTTCTCTACATGGAGCTCCTGCACCATGACTCATCTACCCTGCTCACTGAGCTGTTTCTAGGAAGTCCTGGGCACTCACTCTCACTGAAGAAGGTTCTCCTAATAAGCATCAAAGCGAGAAGCCCAGCATGGTGACAGGGTGGCCACCAGCATGCAGGGCTGTACCCAGAGCCGCCTCCTTCTTCCCTGTGTCCACATCAGATCACAGCCCTCCTTTCCGGGATGCCAAGCCTTATTCTGCAATTCCTGGGTTCTCACACTGGGGCCTCTTCTTCTGGTCTCAGCCCGCTGACCCCAGCATAAAAGGAATTCTGGAGTTTTGTCTCTCACTAGATGGAGGGAGAGTGGCACTCAACTTCCCAACACCTCTGTCTTCCTCTACATTCTTATGGATGCCTGGCTGAAGCAGTCCAGAGGGAAGAAGAGAAGTTTCTCTGCATCACCCACCATGAGACTCTGATTGTGACAGGTTCCAGGGTCCCTGGTCCAGAGCTAGAGTGCAGCAGCCTCTGGAGGCACTCTGAGTCTCGGGGCTATGAGAGTCATGGAATGAGGACTTGGAAAGTAAGGAGACATCACTGAATGGGGATCCCATTGAGTGTATTTATTGCTGACTGAAGTG